TGTTGAGGGACATGATGCGCGGCAGCAGCATGCACTCCACCGACCGCTCCACGTCCTCGAAGTGGTTGCCGTACATGAAGATACCTGCAACAATATCACACTATTACAATAATTTTACTAACATTATAAATGCGAAACTTTGGATGGATGGATGGATGGATGGATGTTTGTTAGATTTTGTAGCCTAAACGACAAAAAGGATTCTGATGAAATTTGGTATAGATGTAGAGGATAGTCGGACATGCGGACGGAGATGCGGGCGAAAACTAGGAACATCTTACGGCTTCATCCGCATATTAAATTATCAAATATGCACATATGTCAACGAATGCCTTTGCCATTGGATAACAAATTAGTTACCATGGCAACCTTGCTTTGCTGCTATTGGTTCGTTTTTTTGCATGACAATTTTTACTCTCTAAATTAAATACCGCGAAAATATGTCGAAAATGATAAAATTTCGACTAAAAATATTAATTTAAAAATATGCTGTGGTTGCTGATATTGTACATAACAAAGAAGAGTGTGTGAATGTGGAATTAATGTAACCTTTCTTGGAGGCGTGTCCGTGCAGGTCGATGTAGAGGAAGAGGCCGGACTCGGGGTCCTTGTGCGTGCGCGTGCTGGAGCTGGAGGCGCAGATCGTCTTCTTCTTCACCTGCTTCGCCGACACCGGCTTCGGTTTCTCCTCCTTTATGCTTACAGGCGCTGGTTGCTACACGAAATTGCTTCGTCTTATAATGTATTATAGACTTCACATTTGGTTACTAAACTATTTTATATTTTATTTTTTAAGGAATTTTTATTTTTACTCTTTTATTGGACCAAAAAATTTAGTTACAAAGAAATGTAACTACATCTCGACATAATCAATTATTAGGACGCCAAATTTTAGTCCCTTTCTCTTGACGGTGGAGTAGACGCATAGGAAGGGGAAGTGTCCACTTTATGTGCGTCTCCTTGTCAGTCAAGGGTAGGCTTCGCATCTGCAATTGCGGATGTCTATGGGCAGCGGTCGCTTTCCATTTCGGTGGATTCAGGTGGCCGCTTGCTCGTT